TGGGTGGGTGGGTGGGTGGGTGGATGATTACTAGCTGGATAAATATCTTGTTTGGTAGCAGTATGTGTTCTTTTCAAAATAAGCAAATAAATTCTATTTCTTAATAGGTATGTAGACAATGTGGGGGAGAGAGTAGCCAGAATGATGTTATGAACGGTAATGCCCTCCAGAAGTATTGCTAGAGGGAATTTGGGAACTTGTAATCTCATAATACCAACAGGACAGCAAGTTAGAAGTGGGTAAGGCAAATCAGCCCTTTTCTACCCCTCCCCCTGCCCCATTTTTGGTTATTTTCCCTTTTCTACTTATGATAAAATTCCATATTGCAATAATTTTTGCAATTGGGGAATAATGTTAGCAATCTGCTTCTCTGGATAATACAAATCCTGCAATTAATTCTTGGTTTGCCATGGATGTGGAAATTACACAGCGCAGTTTGTTCTATTCTGAAATCTTTTCAAACCTCGCTACAGGATGGCATGATGTCCCACTGTGCTTAAGAAGTGTGCTAAACTTCAGTCATCTCCCATTATTGGAGAACTGGGGAAATTCCTATAGATTCAATTCCATTTTCAGAATTCTTTGTGTGCGCATGTGGGGTGAGAAAAAGGGACTTTGGCTTAAATCATTATCTTTACATTATTATCTTGTCCCATTTCTTGATGCAAACAACTGCAGTAATATTAGGAGGAATAATAAATCAGAATGGAGATACTCATTTCTTAGAAGGTTGCATATTTATATTCTACTCCATCCATTAAGGACAAAATGTACGTCATATGTTTGTTCAATCTGTTTTTTTCCCCAATTCTTTTTTTTCTTTCTAGTTTTAGTTTATATTAGCAGTAATGTTAATGACCATTTTGCATGAGAAAACATCATGAAACATTTTGTTGTCCCCTCCAACTTCATTTCTGCTAGATACTCTGGAGCAAACTTCTTCACCTGCTCAAATTAGAATTCTGCCTACCGTAGAAATGGCAAAACTACTCCCAAGAGCTTGTTCCTGTACCAGTGGAGCAATATTAGGAAACCTGAGACACATACACTTTTTACTTTACTTCTTTCCTGTCATTTCATAATCATTTTGGCCATTGCACATTTTGTTAATTTCTGAGCACTGCAGCATGTCACTGGAAAAAGAGATGCAATTCTTATTTTGCAATGATTTTACTCATATCTTTATATGGCACTTTAGAGAGACAGATGCAATGGCTATGCACTCAAGATATTTATAGTTTCATGCTCATACAGAAAAATTGCAAAAGATACTAAAAACTAAAATGAT